GCGCCGGCCCTCCCTGTGGCCGTCACGCCTCCCCAAATAAAAAATACTTGTTCCCGTTCCCAAAATTTTAACACTCGTTCGTCGCCCCCCTCTCCTTCGGACATCACGACGGAATCACCAACCCTCTCTCATTCCTACTTTCCCAGAATATCAGTCGTCCTCCTGCCCTAATTTTCAGAGGCGCCGCTTGAGGCGGTTCTCGCCGGTTTCCGCTAGAACAGGGCCCCAACTTGCCCCCCCCCCCAAAATCAGCGCGATTTTTCTTCTCCTTTTTCTCTCGATTTTCGCCGATCCAGCGTCTGTTCACTTGCGGCCGCCGCGTAGAACAGTCCCGCTCAGTTCACGCTGTTTTCGCTTTCATTTGAATCTCGCCCACTCTTGATTTCTCTCAAACCCTTACCTTAGCAACCTCAACCTCGATCTCTAATGGCGGGTTATATCTTGCACTTCTCCCCTCTTCAACAGCCGCCGGTAATGTCTGATTTATTCCTTGAGATCGCTCTATTCTCTTGACGATCTTTGATTCTTGCAATCAAAATCGCTTCTTGGTTAAAAAAAAGTTATTTATTTTGTGCTTATTTGTGGTATTGCAGGAGAAGGATGAGGAGCCACAGGATTCAGGAACAAAGATCAAGGTCAATTGAAGGTTTAGGGTTTATTTGAAACTTAAGGTATTTTCTGGAGAAATTTGAATATCTTATGCTTCTTTTTTTCTTGCTATTGTTATTTCAGCAAGAGAATGAAGTGCATGAATCATCTCCTCTTTCCAATTCACCGGTATGATATAAAAACCTTGCACTTATTATTCAAGATTGATTATGATACGATTTTTACCAAATATGATTAGTTTATTGGATAGTCTGAGAGTTATCTTTCCTTGATTTCAGAAGGAGGGTGTGCAGCCAATCGGAGCGAGGATCAAGGTGAGACAACGATTTAAGTGTCGTCTATACTCGTTTATTTTGTGTTTGTAGTTTTTAGAAAGTATTTTTAATAAGCAACATTTTGTGACAGGATTTAGATGAGTCGCAGTCGGAGTTGTTGTCTAGGATTCAAGGGTTGAAGTAGGTAAGTCTGCTTATTTTCTTGATCTAGTTCCTCTATCTGGCATCTGCTCAGGTGTAGGTTAGGACATATAACCTGCTTTGGTAATTTATTATTGTTTAAGAATGTTCATTGGTGTCAAAAAAAGTTGGTTTTGTAATTTATTATTGATTACAGAATGTTCAAAGCTGGAGATCACTGGTGGACACACAGCTAAAGTCATACAAGGATGTAAGTTATTTCAACATTCTTTAGGAATCAATTCAATTTAATGATGCTGTCTGAGTAAAGTTTTTATGCCTCATTTGCTAAGAATTGGTGAACTTCCCACATTTAGCTTGTGACAGTGATTGCGACTACAAGCAATTCCGGAATTGAAATACAACTTATTTCTTTACTTACCCGTTTTTAAGATGTTGAACTCTGCCAATCAAATATTTCCTAAAATTTTTCCAAATTCAATTTATTCTGGAACTATCGCATTTTTCTCCTGGTGGAGGAAGTCTTTGAAACTAAATTTAGCAGGAGTTTGTTTAGGGATAAGGCTTGGTGGAGCATGCGAACTCCATAACACCAGCATTTGCAGAATCTGGTTCATTTTGTTGATCTAACCATTCGGATTTGGATTGGATTATTTTAGTGTCTTTTGTATAGATCCTTTTGGTTGTGGTTCAATGTACTAGAAATTGGCACTGATTTTTTTTAGTTCTACTTTCCCATAACATAACATAACAGTTAAAGAATTGTATGCTATGAGGAATTTTTTTAGGACAATGCTGCAATTAATAAAATTATGAGGAGTTTCTTATGACAATGCTGTAATTAATTGAATTCTGACTTACAAAGGTTGGAAAGATCGCTAACCCCTGAGTCTAGACTTTAGTACTTTAAAATCGATCTCTCTGGCAAAGGCATACAATGGAGACAGTTAAATGCAACAATTCAACATATTATCCTTAGTTCATAGCTGGGGGAAAAAAGGTTTTACATGGTTTTAGATACTAGTCCAGAATGGATATTACGTAAACATGCAAGTATGCAACATCCTGGGATGTTGTGAAAGGAAAAGAACATTATGGTAAATTGAAATTATTTTGCACGCTTGGATCCATGGTTTATGGCGATTTTCGCAGCTGCAGCATAGCACAATATCTAATGCATTCTTTCTGCTAGGATTAAAACCTGCACACAATCTTCTGAACCCTTGATACTTCATCAACACCTTGATTATCCTCAATAAGACCAATATCATATCCTCCACCTACACAAGTGTTAGCAACACTAGATGATCTTCTATAATTCTAATATTCTATTAAGTATCAGATTCATTTTACAACTTGTTACCTGTGTGCATCTCCTTCAAAGCATCCAACTTTCTATTTTTTTTCCTTATATTTTCCCTTCCAATTTTGACCACATCTGTTTTTTTATTAGTTTGTGGATTTTATACATGTCAAGTCCGTTGATGTTGTCGGATTGAATGATCAAAAGCTATGAAGTTTTAGTATAGTTCGTATTGATTATAAAGTACTGCAACTGTTTGTTGGTGAAAATTTACACCTCTAAGAAACTTCAAGCTTCAAATTTTTAGCTGTGGCTTATGATCGTATCTATGCTGGCATGTGATTAAAGTGTTAGGGTCTCTACTTTTTGAGGATTTGGTCTGGAACTGGAACATGCTTTTTATATAGATATTATTTTCATATGTGTCATTTAAGTAAATTGCAACTACAACCTTCTGTTTATTATAGATATTGTTATCATATTTGTCATTTATGTGAACTGCAACTAGAACCAAACAGTGGAGATGCAACTAATAATTCCTGGAGTAGTCATCTTAAGTTCTATTCTGTTAAGACTTGTCATCTTAAGCTCTATTTTATTAGACTTGTCAGAGACCAGCGCCAACAGTTGTTTCCACATGTTGGGGCTGGACTTCTTTTTGTTGAACCTTTATGGACTTTCTTGATCTTATCCGCATGCTGAAACACCAGTCTTCTTTATTGTTAAGAATATATTATTTCTGAGATTGCAATATGTCTTATATTTTTCTTGCCAATTAAATCAGGCTTGAGAACATTTTATTGCATACATTAATATGGATGCGTCTGTGAACGATAAAAACCCATGGTCATTCATTCCATGACATAGTGGCTTGGTAATTTTTAGGTGGTTACTTTCTGTGTAAAATATGCAACTCAGACTGGCACGTCTCAGTATATGGTGATCATGTTTTATGTTATGTTTTCCTATGTTCAGATTATGCGAAGGAGGAGGGCTACTAGATCGAATTTTAGCCAAGTAAGACTACTATTCTGAAATTTTGTAGACTTGAAAAAATTTTCCTTTCTTTTCATCTTGTAAAGAGCAAACTTATTTTCCTCGTGTGTTCTGTGTAAGAGGATTTGAGTGTCATTTATTGTGGGATTCACATTTAGTTCTTGCTTGGAGATCATCAACGCTCGTCTGCCATAATTTATCAAAAATGGATAAGATGACTACTTACATGAGGTCCTTTATCATTACAGGAAAGATAGTCGTTATACTGAAAATGATGCTGTGATAGTAGTCCGCCAAATGTTTAAAGTGGCAGCTGAGTGTCACTTGCATGGTTTGGTGCATCGAGACATGAAGCCAGAGGTAGATTAGCCAAACACCGATCTTTTTTATAGTTGTCTTAGAAAAAGCTGGAAGTTCTTTGATCCATATTAACGTAAAATACACATTTTTGCAGAACTTCCTTTTTAAGTCAACAAAAGAAGATTCACCACTCAAAGCTACTGATTTTGGTTAGATTTTATAAAGCCTGGTCAGTATAAGAAGTTATTCTGTTAATAATGATATGGTAGACTACATAATGGTAGTGTTTCTTGTCTTTAGAAACCAAGGAAGAGAGCAGTCACCCTATGTTAGGTTTAGTTTACACATTTATATAATTGAAAAAAAAAATTTAGCACAAAATTGGCGTTTAATAATATCATTCGATTTTAACTTCAACTAAACTCATTAGTACAAAGGGTGTGTCCGTAATTAGCACAATTATATATCCAATACGACAATAGTTTTTCCTTTTTCCATATCTGGTTGATGCTGATGGCCTTTGGTAGTAAGTCGTCACTACATTTGGGACTCAAACAACCAAATTACATTTAAGCTTAAAAAGATTTGTATTGAACTATACCCGATGTTGACCCATAATCTGCATCAGATGAGGACTAGAGTAAAGGTATGCATCTTTTGAATGCAATTGATCCTATACCCTGTTATCAGATAAGTATCTCCAAAATGCCATTAAGCATTCTTATGATCATGCTGTGGTTGCATTCATCTCATATAGTCAAACACATAATATTAGGCATTTCTATCTCACTTTGATTAGTTTGCTTTATAAAAGTTTATGGAGAATGCACATAAGCTGTCATAAACATCAGTCTTTTTCTCATTCTCCTGGAGAAGTTTCAGTTTCTCATTCTCCTAGAGAAGTTTCAGTTTATGTATTGAGCAAAGTTCTGAAGTTTTTCCTTTTTGTTGATGGCGGAAAGATTCAAGGAGGATATGGAGCTTGATATTGCTAAAATGAAGTTTGATTTCAAGGGAACATCTGTCATATGCAGAAGGGGAAGCCCTCTTATTCTTGCTGATTTGAAAAAGGTTGGTTTTATTTATGCTCTTTTGGTAAAGTTCTTGAATGTTATGTTGTACATTGTATAACATCTCCTAGAGTTTTCTAACATCTATTTTTCAGTGTATGATTGCACATTTATTTTGTTATGTGATCGGCTATCCGTGTCTAACAGGTTTCTGTTTCAACGGCTCGTGCTGTGGTTGTCCTTGCTGAAGATGGAAATGCTGACCTGGTAATTATGTAGCAGATCTCAAAGTTATCCTATACAAGTGAAAGCTATGCAAGAACTTTTTTTAGGCAATCACCTTCATTGACTCCTCAAACTCGAGAACATGTGCAGGACTAGGTAATTATTTTTTATAAAATCTGTTATATACTTTTATGATTGACTACTTCCACTAAAAATGTGATTTTTACTTAGTAAGATAATATTTGCTTAATTGATATTTATTAATTATATGATTTTTTTTTTAAATTTTCAGGCTATCCATGCAAGAGTAGGAGAAGGGGTAGCTCGAGTCTTCTTTTGACGATGATTAGAGATAAAAGAATGTCTTCCCTAAACTTTTATTTTAATTTATTTTAGATAGTTTCATGTATTTTTCTTTAGAACAATTAGGATATTAACTCTTGTTATTAGTATTGAATATTTGAGGATGGTGGAATTTTATTTATTGATGTTATTAATGACTGGAGTTTTTAATTTCCCTTTTATTCATTATTGGGTATTTTTAATATATTTGTGTTGTGAATCTTAGTGTCAGGTTGAGAATAATATGATAATTGCCTATGAATGAAAAAATTATTATTAATGTATATTAGAAACTTTTAGTCTACAATGGTTTTATAAACCGTATTTTGTTCATCAACGAAGGGAAAGCACCGTCATTGATAGGTTACTAATTACCCATTATGAGGACTTTTACGACGGTATCCAACCGTCATTAATTAGTCTTTAACGACGGGAAAATATTCCCGTAACTAATGGTAGCGACGGAAAAATATTCTGTCACTAATGGTAACGACGGGAAAATATTCCCGTCATTGATGTTAACGACGGGAAAATATCCCCGTCACTGATGGTAACGACGGTTATAATTACCGTCGTAAATATTAACGACGGTAATATGTTCCGTCGTTATAGACTCTATAACGACGGGTAGTATATCCCTTCGTGACCCTTTAGCGAAGAGGGCTTCAACGACGGGTGACGAAGGGATTTTTCTCCCGTCGTTAGCATACAATAACGAAGGTTTTCAGCTCTTTAACGAAGGGAAATCCCTTCGTTAAAGATGTAATTTCTTGTAGTGTTTGTTGTAATCGACCGAAGATATAATGAATTCCACAGCAAAACCAACTTTTGACGAAAACATCTATAGATTCATTACATGTTTTACGGTTATGACCTTCCATATGACATCGAGAACATTTTACTGGCCGCGTGTAAACAGTTCTGTTGTTGATACGCCTGGTTTTATTTCTCCCTTTCCTTTTTGTTGTAAGTGGAGGTAGGATCTGTATCTCATCCCTTGGCACGATGCGCTTCTCAAAGTCAGGGATAGGGTAGAGGATTGGCTCGTAGCTCTTTTTAAAGGCTTCAACCGTCATAAACCAGTCACAGAACTGGTAGACATCCCTTTTCATAAACATAATGGATGCGCATGCATGTTTGCAAGGGACACGGGTTACATCCCACCCACGGCAAGTGCATGTTTTATTGTCTAGATCCACTTGACAAGATCTATGGGATTGTACCTCAAATAATCCTGTGTGGGACTGACGAACCTCCAATGGACGGCCATTTTCCATGTTCTCTTTGAGAGCAAGTTCAGCTTTGGGGCAAAGAAATTGATTCCAGCTTTCAGCCATGGTTCGTCGCTCATTCATACGAACCATAATCTGTTTACGTATGTGCTCTACCAGTTGAAGTATCCGTAGTAGCCTAGCCTCATGTATCCATTTGTTGAATGACTCTGTAACATTTAATGTAACGTGACCATATCTGAAACATAATAGGGAATTCGTCAAGCGGCTTATAATAGTCATGTAATGAAATAGCTTATAACTTACCTAACTCCAGGGGAAAACGCATTGGCCCAGTTCTCTGGAGCGTAGTTCATCACAATATTGTAAGCTCTTTCGTCGACCAGTCTAATGTCGTCCATGTAATCGTTCCATTCTGCTCTAGTATATTTGTAACAGGCAGATTGCAATAGATTACCCAAGATCTGAGTATCTTTTGATTTGAATCCCAAATCCTTCAACTTTGTCCTGAAGTTCTCAACTAGATGCAACACACATCGAGAGTGTATAGAATCTGGAAAAATTTCTTTAACTGCTTCTCTGATCCCTTTATCCGCATCTGAAATTATCACTAGCTTGTGTGGAGGGTTGTATGGATCTGGCCTTTCATAGAGAATAGACCACAAACCTACAAAGAGTTGTGGTTACCATACACGAATTAGAGTTAGCAATGAATGAGCTAGAATTATCATAACCTGCAACAGAACTAACATGGCTAGGGATAGAACTAACCTTGTAAGAACCACTTCCAGTTAACATTATTTTCCTGATCGCATATACAATACGCCAATGGAAATATCCCCTGATTTCCATCATATGCTACGGCGCTTAGGAGTATGCCTTTGAATCGATCTTTAAGAAAGGTACCATCCAAAAATAAGAGTGGTCTACAGCCGTATAAAAAACCATTTATGCAGGCGGCGTAGCATATGAATAACCTTGTAAACCTCCTCTCATTTTGTTCAACACGAATATAGCTACCTGGGTTTGTCTTCTTGACCTCTTCTACATACCTAGAAAATTGAAGATTAAGCGTTAGTACCAACATTGAAAAAATAACTATAATCAACGTTACATAAAGGAAATTAGTTTGTCTTTTGTTATATATCATCTTCTATTTACCATCGTAATTGATCGTAGGACTCATGGGCATCACCATATAATTTCTCTTGTGCTCTTTCTTTACCCCCACTAAATCTTACTATAATCGACCCTAATCCCATACGAGCTTAGAAACTCCTTTTGAACGTCAATAGGCCGTATATCCGGTCGAATCTTTAACGTGGGTTGTAATTGGGTAGCAATGAATCGCCTTGAGGCTCTAGATTGACCAGCATTATTGCCATGCTACCCACAACTGTGATTGTCCATGAACCTTTTGATTTCAAGTCTATTATCATTTTTCGGTGGAGAGGCAAATAACATCCACGGACAATTTTTTGCTGCCTTAAACCGACAAAACACTCGAATACGCTTCGGTTCATTCTTCCCAAACTCGTATTCGAATTTTTTTACCATGGAGTAGTATAGCAAGACCAATCTTAACTCCTTCGCACTTTCAAATCGTTGTCCCTCACCGGTTAAATCTGTGTGCCACCAAGCAGGAATCCTCTCTGATCTGCTAATCATGTCATCAATCGTCATGACATCATCTCCGAAAGGATTGTCATTGGGATTCTTATCTGGAACACTTGTGGTCCACAACGCCGACGGGCCACAGTCTACACTTTTTGAGTTCAAACTGCACAAATAGTAGAAGTATCAACAGATAATAGCAAAAGCTAAAAAGCAAAAACGACAATTGCTTGCTGTTAGAATCAATTAGAACTAAAAGAACTAACAATATAACCATTAGAGCTAACAGTGCATTGATTAGAACTGACATAATAGCTATTAGAACAAACAATATAGCCATTAAAGGTTAGTTCTAATTTAACGAAGTTATTTCTATTTTATAACAAGCTATTTCAAAATTATAACGTGTTAGTTCTATTCTGTAGAGTGTTAGTTCTAATCTGCACAGTGTTAGTTCTATTCTGTAGAGTGTTAGTTCTAATCTGCACAGTGTTAGTTCTATTCTGTAGAGTGTTAGTTCTAATCTGCACAGTGTTAGTTCTATTCTGTAGAGTGTTAGTTCTAATCCCCTACAGTGTTAGTTCTATTCGGTAGCGTGTTAGTTCTAATAATATGCACAGTGTTAGTTCTAATCTGTAGTGTGTTAGTGTCAGTTCTAACTGATGGCTTGTTAGTTCTATTTTATACCTACATTGTCTAATTTATACCACGTTATATCTAATTTATAACAATTAGGACTAACAATATGGGAACTATAGTGGAACCAGCAATAACTCTAGTAGAACTAACAAAATAGCGATTAGAACTGACAAATAAAACATTAGAACTCTAGTATGGAGCATAACAAAGAACTGCTTAATGACAAATAAAACATTAGAACTGAAGTCCAGTTAAACCTAGTATAGAACTAACAAGAAGACGATTAGAACTTAAGTTAATTGATTTTACAGTTAACCTACATGTCTTGTCGGACTTGCTCGTTTTCCTGTTTATTCGAAGAATCATCTCCTTCTTTAAAGGCTTGCACGTGAACCTCTTTCAGTCCAAGATTGTGGCAATGCTCCACCATAGACGTCAGATCACCATCGTTCTCAATGAGAAATTTTAAGCTTCCAACTGTTTGATCTTCGTATGCCAAAATTAATGACTCGTATGGAAGATCTAACCTCTCTGCCGCATCAAACTTGAGATCCAAGATGGTGGTTGAAGAATTAATCTTCAAGAATACCGCTTTATACTGCGAAGAGACAATGCAGATGATGTCCTTTTCAGCCATTTTGATCTGAGGAGGAGAAGTAATGGAGAACTAACTAGTTATTGCTCATGATGGAGAGAGTTATGGAGAGAATTTTGGTCTGATGAGGAGGAGTAATGGAGAACTAACTAGTTATTGCTCATGAGATGGAGTAAAAAAAGGGGGAAATTTCCCTCCATTTTCCCCATCATATCGCATTAATGAGAAGTGACTTCTGTTGTTCGGACCAGGACTCGTCTGGGGAAGAAAGAGAAGGGCAGTTTCGGTTTTTTTGCAAAATACGATCTGCTTTTAGTATAAAGCTGACGTGGAGGGGGCTTAAAACATTAAAGCTTATTTTTGGGGGCTATTCCACATGGGGCAAAGTACAAGGGGGCTAGTCACACGAAGTTCCCACTTTTGGGGCCTGGACACATTTTTCCCAAATTATTAATAGAGATGAATATAGAGCTCTATCATTCAACTATGGATTTTACTCCAGAGGGCCAAGATGATTTTCTGAGCTTCTTAGAGAAGCTGTAGGAGGAGAAAACTAATATGAATTTCCCACTGGAGATCAAGGAGGATTTTCTTAGTTTGCGGGAGAAGCTGGTTCTGTATGAAGAAACGAATATGGGGGTTCAAGTTCCCAAACATGCCCTAAGAAATATGCAAATCGGATAGATTTAGGATTTAGGAACATAAAATGTAGGCAACTCCAGATACTGCCAAAATGGGAATTCAACAAGCTTAAACTCTCAACTACCACCAACCCACCGCAATCAAAGTTAATGGCGTAGAAAGAAACATTGTCTCGCTAATCCATTATTTATGCTTCTTCCAAGTTTTCAACAAAGAAAAAGAATAACATTGAATACTAGCTGGTCTACAATCTGACTCAGGCTTTCAACAAATTAAGAGACTTCCCACTAACCACAGAAAAATTCAGCATTAATTTAAAAAGGCAACAAGAAGAAAATAAAAGCAAATTTCAACATTATATCTATTACGTACAAAATTAGTTCTATTACATTTACAGAAGGATTAAACTAGCCCATTATAATGCCACAATTCATATACAAAAACTGAACACAGTGTGGTAAAATCAAAATTTCCCAGAGTCGGTGCAAACTAGTACAAAAAGGAACAAGAGACCGTAGCCGATGAGCAATGACTCCATATTCCGCACGCTCAACCTTTGCTTTTAACTGTCTTCAGATTGGTCTTCGACTTAGCGTTCTGTTTCTTGCCGTTGGATTTCTTACCCTTGGAGTAGGAATCAAAATCATCGTCGCTGTCGTCATCAAACTTTCTTTTGGATTTCTTCTCAGCTGTTGCAATTATGAAGTCTTTAGACTTCTGCTCTTGCTGGAGTCGTGCAGAGTTGGTATCCTCCTTTGGCCTCCAAATGAAAAGAGACCTGCAAAACAGATATATAATTGAAGAAGATGGGGTTTAAGAGAGATTCATGATATGTGACGTAATTAAACAACCTAGCTCTGATATCGATATGTTAATAAGCTACTGCATAATATGAATACGTTGCCACGCCAAATGTTGAAAGAGCTAGGATAAGAATACATTCAGAAGCTCTATTACAAGTCAACAAACACAATGCAACTATTTTAAATGATGAGACTTAGTAGTTGCACACACATGCCTCTTTCCAAAGTTTAGTATAGGATAGATATCTTCAACCTAGCTAAGGGAAACAGGTTCGCGTAACAGTTAGGTCCCAATATCGAAAGGATTACGCGGGTTGCTAGACATTAATGGCAGCTATTATGGGCCAATGCTACCATGGGCAATGCGCATGTACCACAAGTAATATACATAAACTTAGTAAAGCGACATAAACAAAAATAAGCATGTTCTATACATAAAATTTGAATTGATTTCGATAAACTTAGTAGCATACATAAACTTAGTAAAGCGACATAAACAAAAATAAGCATGTTCTATACATAAAATTTATATTGATTTCGATAGCAATAGTACAAATATAATCTTTACATACAAGCAATACAGCGTAAAGTGTTTGCATGAATATATGTGAAGGCGTATAGCCTATCAATTTCTTTTATCTTTCAACGAAGAAGCCTAATGATTTCATGTTTAAAGCCAAATCATTATTTCATATATTTTCATAGATATTATACTGACAAAGTTTTTTTTAATTATTTAACACATTATTGTGCAGACTGCAGAGCATACTAAGGAAATACAACAGCCGTCAAAACTTTGAGGATAATTGTGGGCATATCCATAATTCAGGACGCATGAACAAGCCTCCTCCAGCTACCAAAGGAGTTATCTAATACGTTTTACAACACACGGACACAAACTTGTGATACAAGAGCTGGTGTGGTGCAGCATAGCATTAAACTGAATACACGACCAACATAGGGGAGAAGAGTTTGATTCCACAAAGAGATTTTATCATCCTAGTGGCAATGAATTTCATAATAGAATAGACAAGAGGCTTACCTTGAGCTCCCTGTAGCCAATACATCATCTCGAGGATGTAGCTTATTCACAGGACTAATGGTTGTTATATCTGGATCAATCACCTCAGCAACAAGCTTCCCGGTACTTGTATCTATAAAATCAATGGGATGCAATGCCACGCCATTGTAGTTCTCGCTGATGTATCGACCAATAACAGCTAGAGATTCCGAGGGATCCTGTAAAGATTTGCTTTTTTAATGACTAAACGCGTTTAAAAGGTTTTTAAACAAAAAACTTGCAATCATGGACATAATGCTTTTATCACAACCATACAGCAGAAGTAACAAGAAAACTGAAGGATCTGTTATAACAATATCACACTCCCTCATTTCCCCTATGTAGACCACATGAAAAATAGAGAATCATAAAAATACAAACCTTTGGATCCCATTCTGCTCGAAAAGGTGTCAAGTGCCTATTGAAATCTTGACTGTGAACAATCTCTCTGCTAGGAGAATCCAAATTGCCAAAGATAGAATCCCGGCCTATTGAAATCTTGACTGTGAACAATCTCTCTGCTAGGAGAATCCAAATTGCCAAAGATAGAATCCCAAACTCGGATACGATTATCTTGAGAAGTCCTCTCTGCTAGGAGAATCCAAATTGCCAAAGATAGAATCCCAAACTCGGATACGATTATCTTGAGAAGTCGTTAAGATTTTGTTTCCAGTTTGTGGTGAGAAGTATGCTGAGTTAACGACTCGCCCATGAGCAAGACTGGCAAGGGATGATCCACCCACCAATCGACGAATATCCCAAATTCGAGCCTATATATTATACCCAAGTAATTAAAATAAAAAAACAAGGCAATGAGAAAATCCTGGATTAAACAAATTGATGAATGAACTCACAAAATGATCATTTCCACAACTTAGAAGAACATCTGGCTGAAGGGGATTACAATGAAGCCCAACCACTTTGCTACCCTTTTTATGCATTAGAATTGGTTCTCCCGTTCTCATCTTTGAACGTCCATCCAACCTTTAGGGTTGTTTTCATTATAAAAGAATTAGCAACCAACAATTACGAAGAGGAATGTGAAGAATGTCAAAATTAGACTGTAATGCCATTAGAAATATGTATTCTCTTCCTAATATTGGAAGCAATTATCAGCTAATGGAGAAGTTTCCAAATTCCATTAACTAAGATGATTGACGAGCGCCATAAGCTTACACTTGCAATGCCAGTCAAAAAAATTACTTCCAACAGGAAAATAATTAACGATTGAAGAGAGAGATTCTTACAAGTATACGTATCCAAAATTATCTGCCACTAGCAAAAGGCCTTTATCTGAGTTAATATCCATACCATACAGCATTCGCCAAGTTGCTGGACCCTAAAGATCAGATAAATGTGTCAATATCATATTCAGTTAGACCAAAGGTCATGATTCTTCATCAAAGATATCCAGACAAATATGTTCAATAAGACCTAAGTTGAACCAACTGCTTTCAGGTGAAAGTAAACCAAATGTAACAATTATTGAAGTTTAATCTGAGAAGGAATAAGTTACATTCCATCCATTTGGATTACAATCCATCAAAGTATGTGGTATTCCGGTCTCCAAGTCAGTGCAACAAATGGTCCCATCAGATGATGATGTATAGAATGTTCCATCATTAGTCGAATTAAATCTGAACAAGCAAAGTATCAGTGCTTATGAGATAGTGAACAGGGTACGAAGAATCATAAAAGCAATGAATTAAAGTCTTACTTGATATTGTTAACTATGCAAGAGTGAATGGATAACCCAAGTCAACGAAGATGCTCCATTCCATCTGCGATAAGATACATTTGATCAACAAAATTTTTGGGTTCCAAAGTGTTTCGAAAATTCGTCCCAGTCAACCGCGAACTTTCGAAAACTTTGGAGGGGGTTCTGTAGGCTGTCTAAAAATAATAGAAGATAGCTGATTCCCCATCAAACACTGATGATGGAAGTTACAATCGGACGACTTCCAGAAGGCTACAATTTGAAGACTTTCACATGTCAAAGAGCTAAAGCAAAGATTACAAAACGACGATCTTTAGCAACACTCTGATAGAAAGAGATTACAAATCGACAACCTCTTCAAATCAAGACATAGAAGCCCTCTCTACGTACCATCTTCAAGACACAACACCAATTTGATCACCTAAGCAGCTTCAACCACTGCAAACAAAGATACAGCTGCTTATGTGAGATGATTGATCTTGATGGTTGCGACAACAACATGATTAATGTTATATTAGCAACTATTAGAGATGCTAATGAGCAGTGTAATGATATTCGACACACTGAGGAGCACATGGCTAAACCATACAAAGAAATCTCAGTGGAGATCGTGACCTGCAGTTGATAGAGCGTTATTGAGATGCCTCAATTGTCACAAATGGCCCGAATAAGACCTTCTTTACTGGTCATTGGTGTCATCCATATATAAAGACAGAAAAGCTCAAACGCAGCTCCAATCGTGGCCAATCACAGCTCCAACGCGACTTCAGCAACGCTCAAACGCAACTCATCATCGCTGCCCAACGCAGCTCATCATCGCTGCTCGAACGCAGCTTATCATCGCTGCCCAACGCAGCTCATCATCGCTGTCAAACGCAGCTCATCATCGCTGCCCAACGCAGCTCATCATCGCTGTCAAACGCAGCTCATCATCGCTGCCCAATGCAGCTCATCATCGCTGTCAAACGCAGCTCATCATCGCTGCCCAACGCAGCTCATCATCGCTGCCCAACGCAGCACATCATCGCTGCCCAACGCAGCTCCAATCGACATCGAACGCAGCTCTATGCTGCTGCCAAATGCACCTTCAAATATCGAAGAACGCATCTCTAGATGCTGCATTCAAACACAGAATTTAGACCAGAACGCATGTCAAAGTTCTGACCAGTTCAAACACGATCCAGGCAGTTTCGAAAACTGCTCTTCACCCACGATTTGAGGAATGGCTTACGTGGGTTGTTACACCCGATCAATGGGGTAACTAAGCCCCCATTTAGGAGCGGATTATGGGGGCAGTTACACCCCTAATCCCCCTATAAATATCAACAAACTCAACAGAGTTAGGGACGGCTTTTTGGATTGCGGAGATCAGATTTCCTAGAGAGGATCTTAGAGAGAGAGTTAGAGAATTAACTCTTTACACAGTCTGGAGAATCAACATCCATTGAGGGATCTAGACGTTAGATACTTGGCTTATTAACCGAATCATTTTCGGTTCAAACAACTCTTTTGATCAGAGTTTGTTATTCGTTCTGAACTACAAAACTCATCAAGAGTTATCAACCAGACAAGATTGTTATTCCAGTGAGCATAGATATTCGGATCGTCAACGAGAAGCAAACTCGACGCGAGCATTTGAGGGAAGCATCTCATCGCCACCGTGAAGAACCCAGAATTAAATAAAGGAGAGAATCCAGATCATTCTCTTCTCTTTTGTAATCAGGAATTCAAATTGTAATCGAGAGTAGAGAGAGAGTTGTAATCATTCTTTTTCTAAACAGTTAGAGAGAATAAAGTCAAACGCAATTCTTTCATTCATTGTCGTTTTACTGCAAATTTCCAACAAACAGTTTATATGGGTTGTTACTAGCTCAAGAGCTAGATATGGTTACCTCAATTTTTTTTAAAAATCAATGATATTTTGGTTTTATGATTTAAATTTTGATTTATGATTTCATTTGATTGAATCGTTTTCATTTGAAAACATTTTGCATGATTCTCATGCTCTTTTTCTTTTGATTTCATAAATCTACTATTATACATGTTTTTATATTCTTTTATGAGACACTATTTTCATATATGTTTGCCATGATCTTCATTGCATATATTCTATATGGCTTTTTGATAGGGGGAGCATTCCCTAAAATTGTTTGATACTCACCTATGTTTATTGATAGGGGGAGCCTTCGCTCTCTTCATTCTTGGTGTTTTCCCCTTTTTGATGTTGTCAAAGGGGGAGAAATATTGTGAGTATATTCTTTCTTGTTTATATGCATGTGAATTATTCAAAAAGGGGGAGATTGTTGGCCTTCTTGTTTTGATGATGATTTACAAACAATTTACTACTAATGTTGTTTGTCTAGTGTTTGTGCATTCCTATGTATTGTAGACAAACAACGTTGTTGGAGGATGGATGGAATAGAGCTTCAACGATCATATCCAAAGGAGGTCGGCGGAATGTCGGTGAAGCCTTGCAATTCAAGTTAAAGATCAAGTTCAAGCTTCATCCGCAACGTGTACCAAGTTGAGCTTTAATGAAGATCAAGATCATTGCTTGGGTAATTTAGTATAGGTTTATATTATGTGTGTTTAATACGTTAAGCTCAATATCTATACACACACATTTATTGATTTCTTCGTATATATATATAGTTTTATATATATACATAAGTTTTGTTTTCTATGCATATATATAGTTATATATATATACATACATGGTTTTGAGTTTTTATGATTATATATATGAAATTATATATTTCATATTTTCTATTGTGCTTTTGAAAACATTGCATAGAATATGCAATTTTGTGAAAATATTATCTTATTAGTTTATAGACTTTAATATCAGTTTATACATGTTTTACTAAGTCTATAGAAATATTTCACAAAGTTTCAAAAGTTGATTTATGTCAAAACATCAAAATTCACATGTTTACTTTTTCGTGTTTTGAACTATTTTGCAAAATGATGATTTTTCACAAATGGGAAATACAATTTGGAAAATTCTTTTTGCAATATGTTCATTTATATGTTTATATACATTTCCCAAAGATTCATTATTTTTGGACTTCATTTGTTATTTTTAACATATTTTCCAAAGCCTCAAAATCAGCTATTAAAACCTGTTTTTCTGCATATCAGTTTTCGGTCGACCGATCCGGTCGACCGCTCGTTTGTTCTTTCGTCAGCATGGTCCAGAGAGTTGGTCGGTCGACCGATGCGGTCGACCGAGAGCTCCATCGGTCGACCGAAGATGTCTACTTGTTTTCTTTTGTTTTCGACCTGGATAGCGGTCGACCGAAATTTCCGTCGGTCGACCAAATGATTTCGTCGGTCGACCGAAAATTTCGTCGGTCGACCGAAAATTTCGTCGGTCGACCGAAAATTTCGTCGGTCGACCGAAAATTTCGTCGGTCGACCGAAAATTTCGTCGGTCGACCGAAAATTTCGTCGGTCGACCGAAAATTTCGTCGGTCGACCGCCGTTCAGTCTGACTGTTTCCAACGGCAAGTTTTGTTACCATTGGCTGGGGTTTTTTGGTCTTTTGTTTTGGGAGTTTTGGCTGAGTTTTTGAGTGGGTATAAATACCCTATTGCTGCTCTCTTTCAAGTCAAAAAAAAGTTTTTAACAAGGGTTTTAAAAAGGGTTTAAGTTTGTTTTAAGCTTGTTTAAGGGTTTGGTTTAAAGTTGTTTTGGTTTTCACAAGTGGAGGAGATTATCTTCTTGTTTGGGCTTCAATCTCCATCTCTCCATCTTGTTATTCAGAGAAGAATCTCTAAACTCATTTCTAGCTATTTATTATTTTGTTTATAATTTCTATATGCTAGATTTTAATTGAGTTTAGTTTTGATTTTGATTTCACTCATTGTTTACACACACCCATTTAAGCTTATTGTATTTGTATACATTATATAATTGGGTTGTGGGATTGTGTGATATTGAGTTAAGCCTAATTGAGTTCTCACCTTGTTAGAGAGAACAATCATTTGTTATATTATGCTTATTGAGAGATTCACTTTGTAATACACTTGTACACCAAGAGAGAAGTGTGTGGCGAGAGTCGGGGATCGTCCCAAGAGGAGTGGCGTCGGTTGACGAACCTAGGGAGAGGTAGTAACCGAGCACTTGAGGGAGACACGTCTAGTTCAACACTTAGTGGGTGTAGAGTGTGTTTGCATAGTGTTTGTTGTGTGAGAGTTTTCGGTGAACTTGGAAATCGAGTGTGTAGAAGTTTCGGCTTCCAAACTGGATTGTGTTAGTGGATTTCTCCCCGGGAGTGGGAAGCGGAGACGTAGGACGGAAGGTCTGAACTCCGTGATCATATTGCTTGTTTGAGTTTGTCTTTGGCGTATTTGTTTTTGCATTCATCTTATATCGTCATTTGTGCATTGCTCATTATTTATATGATCCACTATCTAGTTCATATCATTTACCCCTTGTGTTAGTTTTATATATCCTTGCATATATATATATATAATTCATCATATATGATATATCTCATTGTTTACATTGCTTATCCTAGCTCATATATCTTGTGGTATTTCATACTTGCTAGGATAACTTGTTAATTAATTTTAATTGATATTTAATTGGATTAGATTAGCATAAATTAGCATAAGACCCTAATCCCCCCCCCCCCCCTCTAGGGTCTAACAACTAGTACATCAACAGTTGCAATAGATATCATGTTTAACAACAATGAATTTTTTTGTGGCCTTTTTCTTTGTTATTTTAGGGGTTGTTTGTTTCACCCATTTTATAGAGAAGGATTGGTGTTTGGATCTGATAGTGGC